CCAGCTCCCAGCACCACCCTCAGCGCCCAGGGCCTCCCCACACGGCCCAGCCCCCAGCACCACCCTCAGTGCCCAGGGCCTCCCCACGCGGCCCAGCTCCCAGCACCACCCTCAGCGCAGCTCAGAACCACCAGCCAGCCCCGTCAATAAGACTCCAGGTTAACACAACCAACAGGGACCTAATCAGTGTGAAGCAGCTCGACTCTGTCACTATCATCATCTCTGGAGTGGACACATTTAACCCAACTATACTCAACATGTTTCACTTCCCAGACATTGTGAAAGAATAGTCCTGGCCCTGGCCGGTGTGGCTCAGTGGATAGAGCCTCAGCCTGCGACTGAAGGGTCCCCCGGGTTCAACCTGTCAAGGGCACATGCCCGGGTTGCGGGCTCGATCCCCAGTAGGAGGCGTGCAGGAGGCAGCTGATCAATGATTCTCTCTCATCGCTGATGTTTCTAGCTCTCTCTCCCTTCCTCTCAGAAATCAATAAATACATATTTTTTAAAAATAAAAAGAATAGCCCTTGTGCAGATGAGTTTGAGATAAGAAGACCTCAGGAGAGAGGCGTGGGGACCAGGGGTGGCTGGTGGCAGTGACAGTGAGCACATGGGAGGGCGCAGAACTATGCTCTACAGCCCAGGGAGAGGGCGGCCCCCCAGCTGGCAGCAGACAGCGGGGGAACTGGATGCTTCAACCCCTCTGTGTCAGGCGGGCCTGGTCCTCAGGCCTCCCCTCCCCCAGGAATGCTGGTGGTCCCCACGGCCTCTCTGCTCAGTGTCTGGGCCCAGGGCGCCCTTCCGCCCCACTTAGCTTTACTGATCCTGTTTGTCTCTCGCAGGCACAGAAGTCTCTTCCCTGTGCCAGAATGGAGGTCTCTGCGTTGACAGTGGCCCCTCCTACTTCTGTCACTGCCCCCCTGGATTCCAGGGCCCTACGTGCCAGGACAGGGCGAACCCATGCCAGTCCAGACCCTGCCAGCACGGGGCCACCTGTGTGGCCCAGCCCAATGGGTATCTCTGCCAGGTGAGCGGGTCAGGGTGCCAGGGTGGACTGGACATGGGAGACGGTCGGCATGGTGGGGGCCGTGATCTATCCATTTCCCTGACCCACACGTCCAGCCAACCTCCAAGTCAGGCCATTTTATCTCCTGAATATTTCTCCGTTTTGTCCGTGTCCCTTCACCTTCGTCCACTGGCTTAGTCCAGGCCTTTGCTGCTGTCCACGTGGACACCTGCATCAGCCTCCCATCGGCCCTGCCCAGCCCTTACTCTGCTACCAGCCTTTACTCTGTTGAAAGCGTTGCGCTCACCTGTCACTCCCCTGATCAAAACCCTGCAGTGCCGCCCTCCTTCACCACGGCCCTGCCCTGGGAGACCCGCCCTGGCTCTTGGCTCCCCGCACACCCCACGCTGGCTCCCTGGCGCCCTCCCCAGCTTCCTCCGCTGCATGGTGCCCAGGAGGTGCCTTCCTCAGGAGCAGTCCTGAGCGGCCCCCCAGGCCGGTCCGGGCCTCTCCTGGGTGGTCAGGTCACGGTGCTAGAGGCCAAGCTGAGACTCAAGCCTGAGCAGCCTGGTCCCTGTAATCAGAGCCGGGGCCTGGGGAGAGGGCACATGCACTCCCCGCCCGCCCCCCATAGCGTCGTATTGTGAGCGTTTCACACACCCCGAGAGCGCACTGACCGTCAACCTCACGCACCTGGTGCTCAGCTTGACTTCCTCTTCCATGAAACTCCCCAGAAGTTCCCAGGACACCCCTCACCTGCTTCCCGCAGCCCTCTAGCCGTGAACCCTCTTCTCCATCTCCTGAAGCCTTCCTGGTCCCGTTCTTGCACGCTCGCCTTCCTCTTGCAAGAACTCAGCACACGCAAAGGCCTCGCAGCGATCCCTCTCCAGCAGAATGTGAAACAGTGGGGACAGGGGGCGGGCACCGGGGAGGGAGCCGTAGTGGCACCGCGTCCCGCCCCGCCGCCACCTCCTAGCTGTGCGACTTGTACAAGTCAGTCTTTCCAGGAATCGCCTCCATTTCTGGGAAGTGAGAGTCAGGTGCGATATCCACACCAAGGGTCTTTAGGGGGATCTCAGGAGGTTATGTGTAAAAATCATGCAAGAAATGCCAGCTGTCTCCGTCCTGGCCGCCTGCGAACCTCCTGGAAGAGGGACCAGTTCTGGTTCTCTTTGCATTCCTGTTGCCTAACATGGTGGCTGCACAAAGGGCGTTCAGTCGGTGCTTGCAAGTTCATGAAGCGTGGCACAGCCTGGGGGCGCTGGTTGGCGAGAGGGGTTCTACCCAAAATGGAGCCATCTTTAGTGGCAGTGTGCCCTGAGCAGCGGGCGCCAACCCGTGGTCCGGGAGGCCCGAAAGGTGGCGACCGCTGTCCGAGAGGCTGTTGGGGCTGGAGGGCTGTGAGTCGTGCCTCATGGGATAATGTGCGCCGTGAGCTGCAGGGGCCTGAGGGCTGGTGAGTGGGGCTGGCGAGCGGGTGGGCTCGCTTCCTGGTCGACTCAGCCTGACCCTCTTTGCCTGCAGTGCGCCCCGGGCTACGAAGGACAGAACTGCTCAAAGGAACTGGACGCTTGTCAATCGCAGCCCTGTCACAACCATGGGACCTGCACCCCCAAACCTGGCGGCTTCCACTGCGCCTGCCCGCCAGGCTTTGTGGGGCTGCGCTGCGAGGGGGACGTGGACGAGTGTCTGGACCAGCCCTGCCACCCCAGAGGCACCGCAGCCTGCCACCCTCTAGCCAACGCCTTCTACTGTCAGTGTCTGCCCGGGCACACGGGTGAGGCGCGGCTGGGGGGGGGGGGGGGGCACAGGCATCCGGCACAGCTGAGCTGGCCGTGGAAACCAGATAATCCCCTCCACAAGGCTGCTAGTCATCCTTCCTGCCCAGAGAACATGGCCAGGGTCCCTTTACCTGTGCGGCTAGCGCTGGGCCGACTCCCAGGAATGAGCAGAAAGGAGGCAGTGACCAGACTGTGTGACATCCAGTCCTGCCCCCGCCGCAGGCCAGCGGTGTGAGGAGAAGATGGACCCCTGCCAGAGCCAGCCCTGCTCCCACGGAGGGTCTTGTGAGGCCTCGGCAGGACCACCCCCAGGCTTCACCTGCCGCTGCCCCCCGGTGAGTGACGGCAAAGCTGCCTTCATCGCCCCCAGCACTGACACAGGCGAAAGCCTGAGCTGGGACCCAGAGGGAGCCCGGGAGCCCTGCAGTGGGAACTATTGGAGAAGCCGTCCAGCTCACAGGAGTGGCTCTCGGCAGCAAAAGCGGGTGGTGGAGGCAGGATCAGGGGGTAGCACGGATGCATGAGGGAAGGACCCCAAAATCAAGCTGGGTGACTGTGGATAAGTGCTCAGTTCTTTTAACTCTGTGTGTGTGTGTGTGCATGCGCACGATGCATAACATCGGTTCATGATACACTAACACCATTGATTTGTGCTTGGCCTTCTATGTATTTTATTCTTACAATATAACACCCATGAACCAAATCTAAGAATTACAACATTAATAACTTGCAGGCACTTATGTCCTGTCCCCCTTCCAGAGGAAGAGAACGTATATAATCCTATTTCCAAGGATTAAGACAGTAGTTCAGTTACTACTCTATTAGCTCTTTAGTCTGCCCGGACTTGCACTGCGATGCTGCAGAGCTGTGGTTCGTCCACTGTCACCACCATGTACTGTCATTGTGTGAAAACACACGGGACATGGTTGCAACCTCTATAAAATGATCCCCTTGTTCTCTGAGGCCCTTCCAGATGGACACTCAACCCCCCCCCACACCCCCACCCCCGTTACCTTATCCGGGAGTGTCTTGAGAGGAAGTGGGAAGAATGACACAAGGCCCCTCGCCAACCTCTCTTCTCTCTGCAGGGTTTTGAAGGCCCCACCTGCAGCCAGAGAGCCCCCTCCTGTGGCCCCCATCACTGCCACCACGGGGGGCTGTGTCTGCCCTCCCCCAAGGCTGGCTTCCCGCCCCGCTGTGCCTGCCTCAATGGCTACGGGGGCCCTGACTGCCTGACCCCAGCCATCCAAGGCTGTGGCCCTCCCTCCCCTTGCCTCCACAACAGCAGCTGCTCAGAGACCTCCAAGCTGGGGGGCCCGAGCTTTCGATGCTCCTGCCCTCCCGGCTCCCCAGGGCCCAGGTGTCAGAGCCCCAGAGCAAAGGGGTGTGAGGGCAGAGGGGGAGACGGGGCCTGTGACGCTGGCTGCAGTGGCCCCGGAGGAAGCTGGGATGGAGGGGACTGCTCGCTGGGGGTCCTGGACCCCTGGCAGGGCTGCCCCTCCCACTCCCGCTGCTGGCTTCTCTTCGGCGACGGGCAGTGCCACCCGCAGTGTGACTCTGCAGAATGCCTGTTTGACGGCTATGACTGTGAGACTCCTCCAGCCTGCACGTGAGTTGGGGCGGGGCCACAGTGAGGGCGAAGGGCCATAGATGCTTCTGAGTTATGTGTCACCCAGCCTCAAGCTCCAGGGAGTTGGCACCCTCGTCACTGTCGGCACTGCCAAGTGGGGGTGGAGGCCTAGGCTCCACCCAGGAGCAGGGCAGCCTCAGGTGAGCAGGGCAGCGAAAGCCACACCAGCACCATCTCTGCCCCAGCCCTTCTCCAAGCTGCTGCCCTGGAGACTCTCCCCTACAACCTGCACCCCAGGGAAAGCGCCCCGGGCCCGCCTTCAGGGAGGGGGGAGCTGGGGGGCAGGGAGAAGGGACTGTCTTAGGGACCAGGTGTCAGTAGACATTAGGGTGTCTGAGCTACCTACCCCCAGGGCCTGCCTAAGCCCATTTCTCTGGAGCTGCCCCAATAGCGAGTGCCCTGGAGGCGGTGGGAGGTCAGGAGTCCTCTCTGGGATGAAGGAGGGAGTCCGGTTTCTTTGGGGTCCTGAGCCCCCTCTCCTCGCCCCCAGCCCAGCCTATGACCAGTTCTGCCACGATCACTTCCACAACGGCCACTGTGAGAAAGGCTGCGACGCTCCGGAGTGCGGCTGGGACGGAGGCGACTGCAGGCCCCGAGATGGGAACTCGGAGGGGGGGCCCTCCCTGGCCCTGCTGGTGGTGCTTAGCCGCCCAGCCCTGGACCGGCAGCTGCTTGCCCTGGCCCGGGCACTGTCCCTGGCTCTGAGGGTGGGGCTCTGGGTAAGGAAGGACAGTGATGGCAGGGACATGGTGTACCCCTATCCTGGGGCCCAGGCCGAAGAGGAGCTGGGAGGAAGCCCAGGCCCCTCTCATCAAGAGACAGCAGCCCCTCAAACACAGCCTGCGGGCCAGGAGCCAGACTCCCTCAGCACGGGGTAAGGCTGGGCGAGGGGTGGGGGAAGGGAGCCGGGGCCAACACGGGTCCCTGAGGTGCCTCGCCCGCAGGTTTGTGGTGGTGATGGGTGTGGACTTGTCCCGCTGTGGCCCTGACCACCCTGCAGCCCGCTGTCCCTGGGACCCTGGGTTCTTGCTCCGCTTCCTTGCTGCCATGGCTGCAGTGGAGGCCCTGGAGCCCCTACTGCCGGGACCCCTGCTGGCTGCCCACCCTCGTGCAGGCACCGGTAGGTGACCCCATCCTTTCCCCTGACCTCGCTCCCAGGCCAGGCTTCATGCCTCAGCCAGCATGGAGGCCAAATGAAACAGGAGCACTGGGACCCAGTGCTCTTGTGGGGACTTACCCTTGTCACCCTCTTTCTCTAACTGGGGGCTCCCAGGGCCCCTTTGCTCTACAACCTCCTTCCTTATTTTCCTAAGGACTTTGTCCTAGCCTCCCTCACAGGCTCCCCGCGAACCTCGGGTCTCGGTCCATCCTCTCTGCTAGGCCGAGTGCATGTCACTCCTGTGTCAAACAGTGCAGAGCTCACGAGAGAATAACTCACATCGCACACACTACGTGCCTGGCTGTGCTCTAAGCGCTTTCCAGTACTAACTCCTCTTATCCTCCCAACAACCCCCTGGAGACGGTGCTATTGTTATTCCCATTTTACGGATGAGGAAACTGAGGCCCACAGGTCTCACAGCAGTACCCAGCCTCACCTGGAATGGCCTCCTTTTGTCTCTCCCACCAGAGCCCCCCGCCAACCAGCTTCCCTGGCCTGTGCTGTGCTCGCCAGTGGCCGGGGTGCTTCTCCTGGCTCTTGGGGCTCTTCTCATCCTCCAGCTCATCCGGCGGAGGCGCCGAGAGCATGGGGCCCTCTGGCTGCCCCCGGGGTTCACTCGAAGGCCTCGGACTCAGCCAGCTCCCCGCCGACGCCGGCCCCCACTGGGCGAGGACAGCATCGGCCTCAAGTGAGAATGAGGAGGAGCTGGGGCTCAGGGAGGGGACTCTTGCCTGTGAAGACATTTATGATCAGAAGCAACAAGAGATGCCACTGCAGAAGTGGGAGACAGAGGAAGGGGAAGGGGCTAGGGTTAGGGTTAGGGTTAGGGTTAGGGTTGGGGTTAGGGTTAGGGTTAGGGTTA